ACACACACACACACACACACACACACACACACACACACACACACACACACACACACGTGCTTTTCCTAATTTGTGAGGACTTAGTGTATCCTTTGACTAGGTGGCTACATGTGGGGACACACCTTTCTAAATGAACTAAAGGCTTGGTTTTGGGTTTGTATTTTTTTTAGGGACTCTGGAACATGAAATATGATTTTTAATATAAAAATGCATCAAATTTAGAAAMWTTTAAATTGTCAGGTTCTTGGACCCAYGTGGGGACGTGTCCATTGTAGCCACAGCTRCCCTGACGCACACTGACAGAGGCGAGGCTGCCATACACAGGCGCCACCAGACCCTCTGACCACCATCAGTAGGCAAGGTGGGTAAGGTGTCTTGCCCAAGGACACAACGACTGAGTTGACTGGACGGGGATGGAACCTTCCGGTTCCAGGACGACTCCCCTAACCACTCTACCACAGCACCTCCCCCCTACACACACACACACACACACACACACACACACACACACACACACACACACACACACACACACAAATAAATTCAATTCAGTTTATTTATATAGCGCCAAGTCACAACATGTGTCAGGGCACTGTACATGAAAAAATGACAACTAAGAATTTTTTTTGCCTTTGTTGTTACAAAATAATAAGATTAGTGTATTTAAAATGGACATAACCCAGTTAATAATGTTACTATGCTTTTGTTTATTTGACATGAAAACAATATTTATCCACCAACAACAGCTGGGGGCACAGGTCTCTGCTGCTGGTATTTTGTGAGTCAAAAGTTCAAAAGTTTGGGAACCACTGGGTTAGAGCTTTAAAAATGTACTTATTGTCTTTAAAATAAACATATACTGCTTTAAAGCTAGCACTGACGATAAACTACATCTCCCATAATGCATCACATATTTATTTTACCTGTCAAATTTATTTATTTATTTATTTATTTATTTATTTATTTATTTATTTATGACAGTGCACATTAATGAACAATCTTATACTTCTGTACAGACTGTAAATGAGTCAGATTATATCATAGTTGCTAATTTACATCTGTAGTCCTGAAATGATGTCATCCTACGTGGAGCTGCACAGGGTTCAAATGCAGCCGGCAGCAGACTGTATCAAATCTACATTTAGCTACATTTTTGCCGGTTACTTTTGCTGCAGCCTAGTTGTACTGGGAAGTGGGAATTTCCTACTTACGAGTTGTAAATTTAAATTGTAACATCTCTCTAGTAGGAATTCCCTGTCAGAAAGTGGGRGAGTTCAGATTTCATGATGGCAGCTATTCACCACAAGTCACCAGTGACTAAAACTCTTATTTGTACTTTTAACAGTATTTTTTTTATTTCATATTTATTTCAATCGTACACATAGTACTTTTCAGTGCTTATAAGAATATGTGTTAAAACACTGTTTCTATGCA